ATTTCTCTTCTATAATTGCTTATTTTATTATTGCAATTTCGTGAAAAATTGTGAAGTTGGTGAATTGAAGTATTCAAGTCTTCAAGTCTTCAACGATTTTCAATTTTCAAGAAGTTGTTCGGCAATTCGGTAAACTCGTTCCAACTCTTAAGTTTTAAGAATATATTTTTATGTGTTTAGTTTGCATAATTGTAATTAATATGGCATTTTCTTTGAAAAAAATGTTTGGTGGTAAGGGAAAAGCTAAAATTGGTGAAAGTAGTCTCCAACCTACTATCCTTCCCCCGGCTCCCAGACCCAGACGGCACCTTTGATCTTTTGGAATGGTGGAAGGCAAGGGAAAAACATTTTCCGGTTCTTGCAAGGATGGCTCGGGATATTTTATGTATTCAAGCTTCAACAGTTGCATCAGAGAGCGCTTTCAGTCAAGCAAGACTTCAAATAGGTGATCATAGAGCGTCTATGAGGGAGAGCTTGGAAAAATCAGTACTATTCAGAGATTGGATCCGCTCAGAAAGAAGAAACTTTGCACTTGCAGAATCACAACCGGAGATAGACGAAGCTTATTAAGAAATGATAGCGGAACTTGCGGAGGATGCTGCTTCGCCCGGAAGCGGTGATGAACAAGCTTCTTTTCCGCCACCACCAACGGAACCTCCTCCGAACCTTGAAGGATTTATGAGATTTGTTAGAGATACAATGTAGATTATGGTGTAACTTGTACTTTGGCATATCTTCTTTAGTTTTTTTTCCTTTTAATGGTGGTATTAGTACCTTGTTGTGCTCATTCCATTGGGGGGAAGAAGACTAAGAAAGATATGCCATTTTTGGTAATAAAAATTATAAGACATGCCCTTGAATATCTCTTTGCAATATTTTTTTGTCTTTAACTTGCAATTATTTATAAGCTATAATATATTAATACAATATATACTAAAAGAAAATATATAAGGGAATATATATACATAACATACAATATATACTACAAGAAAATATATAAGGGAATATATATACATAACATGCAACATATACTAAAAGAAAATATATAAGGGAATATATATACATAACATACAACATATACTACAAGAAAATATATAAGGGAATATATATACATAACATACTATATATAGTATACTATACTAGTATACTATATATATTATATATACTTGAAGAATATATACTAGTATACTATATATATTATATATACTTGAAGAAGTAGTACTATATATACTACAAAACAAGATTTTTCAAAATGAGGGCCCCACCCCCAATGACCACCAACGGTCATATTGCACAAATAGCCGTTTTTTTTTTCAATTTACAAAACTAACCTTCTCTAACACTATAAATACCCCCCTCCCTCTTCTTCATTTCAATACTCAATACTCATTTCTCAATCTAAATTTCTCTCAATCTCTCAATCTCCAATTTTCAAGATTTCAAGTCTCAATCTCAATCTTCAAGTTAAATCATGCCTCGTTCGGAAAGAGTGCGCTTATTTGTTTCGCAATACTATGAAGTGCTTGAAGAAAATGAAGAAGGCCAAATATTAAAATGCAAGAACTGTGGAAGAGTCTTAAATTTTCGTTCAGGGTGTACCACAGGCATTTTAAGGAGGCATATAAAGTATTGTGTTGAGGGTATCAAATTCGTGTTTAAGATTTTTCAACAATTTGTGTTATTTTAAAATTATTAGACGTATTTATGCTTCATGTTGTACTTTGTTATTAATTTATTATGCATGCAATTTAGTTTTACTATTGTTTTGTTATTTTACTTTTTCGTCAAGCACTTTAATAATTAGATTTCTATATTATATATACTACATATATTTATATAGCCATGCATAAGAGCAATTTATATATATACATACATATATGGTTTACAAGAAATTGCCTTAAATAAAAAAAAATTTAAAAAAAAGCCCGAAAATAAAAAAGCCTGTTAGGCCCGCTAAGCCCACGAGCCCGGCCCATTTAGCCCAGGACCATATGGGCTTAGGCCCGTCACGGGCTGGTCCCACCCGTTGAGCCCACGAAGCCCGGGACTGTGAAGCCCAGGCCCGTTTAGCCCATTTAGGCCCGGGCCCGGCCCACCATACAGCCTTAATCAAAACATCTTAACTTTGTTAAATTGCAGGTGGGTGCACCTCCCCCCTCCCCCCACCACACACACATACATACATACACACATACATATATACATATATATGCACACACCACCTAAATCAACAGCTTCATCAAAACATCTTAACTTTGTTAAAATGCGGGCGGGTACACCTCCCCCCTCCCTCCCAACACACACACAAACACACACACACACACACACACACACACACACACACACACACACACACACATATATATATATATATATATATATATATATATATATATATATATATATATATATATATATATATAGTGTGTGTGTGTGTGTCTTACATGAGGTATGTAAAGGTGTCAAAAGGATTTTATAAAATTCTTAGATGCATTAAGCTTCACGTAGAATGTTTAGATTCATATTGTATCATAACTGTTGGACTTTAAGCCATTGGGCTTTAAAGTAGAGGAAGTGTGAATTGGAAATGGAGGAAAATAAAATAGAGGAAAAAATGAAAATTTGAAGAAGTGAACTTTTGTCTTGCACTTTGTCCCTCATTGGTGAGGGACAATCACATTTGTGTGCTTATATATAGAATCACTTCTTAAAGCTCTTAAAAGGAGTTGAGGAGAATGAACCCTCGCGCCGTCGT